GGCGGTTGATGGAACTGAGAGAGCAAGGCCGGTGGTGGTGCGGATGTGGTGGGCGGCTCCTCCGACGGCTTCTGAAACACACAGGAGGCCGCGAAAGCAGATAAGAGGCAAATAACAGACTGCGCTCAAAATGAACTAAAAAAATTTTGCAGTCTAGAATTTGAAACTTCGGTGGAAACCGAAGCCCTAGAAGTAATGACTCAGACTGCAAATATGTCCCAGAGTAGAAAAGAGGGTTATGGACTGTTTACAATACTGAGGGCTACAGAATATAGGCTTACAATACTCCTAACACAAGGGCTCACTGGCCTCCCATAGATAGTCCAATCAAGCAAAGGTGCCTCCGCTCGTAAACGGAGCTTTACGCTAAGCCTTGAGTGCCGCAATCTGGATAACAGCCGGACTTCAGAATACTCCATTTTGAGACGTCGGTGGATAAACCGACTGATCTAGCAACCCAATTTACTAGCCCTAAATTTCGGAGGCAAAGGCTAAGCGCTGTAATCGGCACAGTCGAGGCCAATAAACCTACATCCAGGAATGAGTGTGTCACTGACAAGTAATACAGAGCCGTTTATGCAATACGGCAGATGACGCAGTTGGTGGGAAGGATTACGGCAAGTGTCCCAGTCTCCAGATGTAAGGCTTGAGGAAAGAGTTATAGAGGGAGTAGTCGTTCCCAGACGCTTTGTTACGCATCCTCAGTATTCCACACGTCTCCCACTCAGAGAAGTTAGAGTCACAAGACAATTTCGAGTTGTATACACAGGCAACGGCGAGGTCTTGAGCAAACCTACTCGAAGAGAGCAAGTCAGTTGCGGAGACGGTGCGCTTAGATAGTGACGATCAGCTAAGCTCCCCTTTGCAGTAGCAAGGGCAGATTTCTGTTTTGCAATGTTGAAACGTCGTGTGTGATGTGGGGATGTAAGCTCTTCGTCGCAATGGGGGACGACGGCAACGTCCGACTCAAAATCACTGATGATTTCGGAAGAAAGTATTTACCTGCTGTTATACACTGAGATGACTAGATTTCAAATGGTCTGACGGAATATGGGTCCATCTTTAGGAAAGTATGGCTGTGGCGGTGCGAAAAAAATGCATTTGTAGCGGACAGACTATTCCGGCTGGTGAAAATCAGAAGTCCCTCACTACAACTGCATCGAGCACTCGGACTACTGCGATGACCAAAGTACCAATGTGAGAGATGGACAGATCACGGTGAAAAAGTTCGTCAATCGTCAATCCTGCGAGCCACAAATATGGCTACTGAATTTGTCGGCACAGGGGCGCCAAATGTCAGAAATAGTGGCAGTGTCCACTCAGCCGGATGTACGTCGATAGTGAGACGGTTCGTCTGCCATGATCGATGAGAACCTCCACCGTCACGAGTGCACACGGATACTTGATCTGCAATGACGAAGGAATGTGGAGTACCTGCCTCATTCCCTTTTTCCACACACACAGTGTTCAAACGGCAAAACACGGTCAGAAGATCTGCAGATGTACAGTGGTTCACGTGAGCAAATTCATGTTTAGGCGTGGCGCACGCGATCCGGTCCGAACACGCACACAATCGAGACTCTAAAGAGGGTTTTGGGGGTCTCGTTGACAAGAGTGGGTATAAGTCACATTGCGAAGGCGAGTTCGGATTCGCTAGAGATGAAATTGCGCGCAGTGGCTGAGGTCTCATAAGTCTTTATCAAACGTCTATAGTAAACCAGTCTAGCCGTCACTATGATCCAGAGCAACGGATCAGCATGCTTTCGAGGCCTATACATACAGCGAGGCGGTCAGGCAAAACTTTATCCGCCGCTGGGGTAAGGCAATGGACATATAAGGCCCAAAATAGGACTACGGACTACCAACTTAGGTAAAAAACGAGGTCTGATAGCAAGAAATCCATGAGGGAGACGCGATCGCTGAGACAAGAGCTTTATTCGCCTGCCGTTTTGAATTCCAGGTCGAACCCATCATCAGAGCCCCGGTGAACACGGATTTGGCGAGACGAGCAGTATTTCAACATGGCAGAAGGATGATCCGAGTGCTCCTCCAAGATTGTCACGCGAGACTTCGCAAGTACCGTCAAAGGATTGACCAAGAAAAGACCAGATGCTGTGAGTTCATGGGCGAGATCGGTAAAAATCTGCTCCTGCAGGGGGTGGCTGAACGAGCCCGCGAACAGAGTGGTGCGCGTCGCAGCAATGGAGAACAAGTTCCGAAAGCTGCCCAATCCAACATCGCCCGAAAACGGCACTGGTGCAAAATCCGTCATCAAAGGAGATGACGAAGGATCAGATGTAGGTGTTACGGCACAATGCTTCATTCAACACGACTGACGCCAAACCTGTTAACATGATTGCAACGGTGGAATCAACCCTTGGTCAGACGGAGGCAACGGAGGAGACTAAGAGCCTCATCCAACACCAAGTGTCGTGTCCACTAATGGCCCACAGGCCGCGGTTAGTGCTTTCCAAGGTCGAACGTGATGCGCTTGGAGAACTCACGGCCGACAAAGACCTAGTCATCATGCCAGCGGACAAGGGGTGCTCCACGGTTGTACTGGACAGGACAGACTACCTTCAAAAAGCCAAAGGTTTACTGGGGGACTGACAATTCTATGTCTCGTGTGCAACGAACCCTGTAAAAGCGCTGACACGCGAAATTATTGCTACGTTGTTGGCCTAGGAGAACTCATGTGCAATAACACCGACCGACAGACGCATGGCGAGACCCCAAGATACGGCTTTGGCCCGATTCTATGGCCTCCCTAAGGTGCACAAAGACGGCGCTCCTCTCCGACTCATCGCGTCGCTCAAAGGGATTCCAACGTACGGACTGGCTAAGTGGCTGTTCCGGCGTATCAATTTCCTGACCACTGAGTCAGACACCACGGCCTCTTCGTCAGCACAAGTCCTGGAGAAACTCAAAGGATTAAGCCTCCATCCAAATGAGGTCATGGCATCTTTTGATGTTACGTCCACTTTTTACTTCTATTCCCCAGGATCTGGCGATCGAGACAATCCAGCTGCTTCTAAAAAGATAATATGATGGAACGGGGAATCATCTTGGACGCGCCCAAGTCCTTCAGCTTCTGAAGTTCTATCTTAGGACGCACTTCACGCCCAACGGGACAATCTACGAGCCGGTGAAGGGCACACTAATGGGTTCGCCAATTTCGGGATTCATCGCCGGGGCGGTCCAGCAACGGTTAAAATCGTTGGTCTTCCAACACCACAGACCGAAGTTCTGGACCCGGTATGTGGATGATACTTTCGTCGTTATCGACCGAGATAAACTGCTGACATTCAAGGAACATTTGAATGCGATCTTCCCATAGATACGACTTACGATGGAGGGGGAAGAGAACAAACAGCTGGCCTTCCTGGTTGTCCTCGTATGCCGCAAAGATTGTGGTGGCCAAAAGACGAAAGTGTTCGGGAAAGCGGCAAGTACGATGCAAGTACTGAACTTCAACACGAACCACCCAATCAGCCACAAACCCATTGTGTAAGGACGCTCTATCGGCGTGTCGAAACGCACTGCAGTGAGCCGGAAGACAAGATGGCCGGATACCCGCGCAAAAGGGACGAAAGGCCAAACCGTCCGGACCGAGAATTTTGGTGAGTGCTTCCGCGTGTCAAGAACGTTTCGGGATATGTCGGTCGCCTTCTCGCACCACTTGGGGTTAGAGTTGCACACAGACCGGAGGCAACCATCAGGCGTAAGGTAATGAAACCGAAAGGCCCGCTGCCACGGCTAAAAACGTCTGGAGTCGTTTGTGGGATCAGGTGCAGTTGCGGACAAAGCAACTACGTCGGAGAAATCGGAAGACAATTCCGAACGCGAATGGCCAAACACGCTGCAACAGTGCAGAGAAATGACGCCCACTCTCAAGTTGCGGCTCATTCAACGATACCCAGCCACACATTCAAATTCGACGAGGCCTAAATTCTCGCTATAGGTGACAACCGTGTGAGCCGCGAGCTGCTTAAGTCATCGTTCACCAACAAGTGCAACGACCTTACCCTTCCATACTCGGTGCTGAGACTTCGCCTAGGCTGGGTAATTAGTCACGCGGGGGATGCACAGGTGAGCACTGCTTCCAACGACATGGACGGTGAGTTAGATGGTCGAGCAATCATTACACCAACATCCACCATACGTGATGAAATTGCAGCAATTAACGACGCGAATGTCGGCCATAAAACAGTCATCACAGCAAATGTAACGATCCCTGATGAAGGAGGGGGGAGGGGAGCCGTGAATATTCAGAGGTGTACGGTAGTATGGCAACTGCATCCTATAAATACTGCAGCCCCCTGTGCATGAACCAGCCGTATCTGCTATTGTCTCTAATGCTGGGTTCGGGCAGGAATCCGAAACGTCAGGCGAATAAAGCTCTTCTCAGCGATCGTGTCCCCTTCACAACTGCTTCCTGGGACTCGTCTCTCCGCTTCTATTGGCAAGAAATCCCCTAGTCCTCAGGGTTCGAAAAGGCGATCTTAGTTCAAGAACGGGGGCACATGTTTATGTTATACTGGAGAAGAGTGCTCACCTTTAGGCCTGAAAATCTAAGGTCGCCAAAAGTTCGCACGTTCAACTATCCAGAATCAATGGGCAGCATTTCTGGCTGGCGGGTGGGCCTCAATTACCATCCACTCGCAGCAGTGAACAAGGGATGCGTAGTGTAGGGGTCTCACTGGATGCTGCAACGCGAAGCGCAAGTTTCCCAGAGAACGCTTCTTATGAGTGAGCCCGCGGATGTAGCCGCGGACTTAATCCATAGGCGGCTTTCCTTCAGGGTTTAGGAATGACAGGTTCATATAACTGCCATGCAGAAGCGGCAGATAGGATCCCTCTGAAGGCGAGGAATAAACCGTGAGTGATGAAGCCCTTAAGGCGATTCGGCATGTCCCACAAGTGGCAGGCGGAGACCCTCCACGTCACACAGGTTGCCTTAAGATGGCGCAATAATGTTTTGTCGCGCCACTGTTGCCCGTTCACTCTAGAGCAAGTCGAGGATAGACTTTCTAAGATCTAACACTTGTGGCTCTGTCGGCATTTAGTTGCTGGCGTGGTTTGTGTAGACTATTACTTCTTTTACTAAAAGTCCTCCGGATTATGACCAAAGGTATGACGCCGAACTAGGCAGGTTGGGAAAACCAAAGGCGTCGTCAGATAGCTTTGTCATGTCATAAACCTGCATAGATTTATTGGATATCGGGTAGAATACACCCAAACATGTTTTCACACTGGGGCATACTAGGCTTTGCACTGCAAAGCTCAGCAGTCGCTTATAGTAGCGTTCCTCGTAGAAATCTCGTGCAGCATTTATATCAGCATTAATGGGGATCCACAGGTAGCTTGATGGAACACGAACAAGTGTTCGATGGGGAACATTGATCAGGTTTCTGTCCCCATCATGGAAGACTGGTAGATCCTAATGCAGTTGTCCTGGCGGGTGGCTATCCTTTCGAATCACGAGCTCAACTACGTCGCAGTTAAACTCGTGGCCGGTTTGGTAGCGTGAAATGCTCCACACGATGTCGAGTCCAACCTTTCCTTGTCTGCAGTTTGCAGTCTGTTTCCCCGACACAGTTACGTTCTCTACAAGTCTGCTGTAGGTGGTACACTGAGAATGACTTGATCGCCAGTCTTTGAGGTGAGTGGGAACTCACTAAAGTACGCCAGCTGGCAAGAGTGTAGAAATTAACAATTTCCGACACATGTTTGGAAGAAATGGGAACCCTCGAACGTTCATCGAGAAAGACTGAAAACTTCCAAAACGGCGTCAAGAAGGCATAACAGCTTATACTGTGACAGTGTTCCGTACATAAAGAGTACGAGAAGCGGTAACAGGGTTCACCGGATAACTCAGTACACTGCTATCAAGTGTTGAACTCAAAAGTTTCATTCCAAATGAGAAGTCATCTGTCGGCTGCAGTGCAAGTGTGGGGCATGCAACCAATAGGGACACACCTACACACCTACTTTCCCTGAAATATACTGATACTGATACTGATACCCGGTACAAGTAAGCAGAATAACAGTTTAAACGCTACACAAAGAACATGCGATGGTGGTAATGGTCGTAAAATTAGTGAGTTGTACTGTTGTCAACTTGCGCATACGCGTATGTTCGCAACCGGCGATTTATACTCGTGATGTGCCTAGGGGAGCCATTTATTAACTACTTAAACATTCACATATAAGAGGAAGAATAAAGTTTACGGGATTGCAGAAAGGCTAGTTCTCACAGCAATGACAGCAGTCTAATAAAACGGTCGCTTTAAGGCGTCTAGAAGCATATGGATATCTACGGTAATCGAAGATAATGGGGGTGGGATGTGGCTTTAGGAGAACATCCTAAAGGATGAAATAAAAAGGAAGAACTATGAATGGAGGGGGGGGGGGGAATTACGTGAGGGTCAACTTCATCGCCTGCAACAGACGTCTTCGCAGTGGCTAACACCGAATGCTGGTGGCCGGAGGCAGACAGAGGATCGAACTCAGGACTTTTCCCGACAGTTTCAGCCTAAAGGTAAAGGTTACGGGATGGATGCGTTGGCAACGAGAGGAAAAAACTACGTTGGTGCCGTACCATACCAGCCAATGCCAGTGGCTCATGATTCGACAGGCGTGAACACTGGCTTTAAAGGAACTGATTTAGAGAGATTATCCTTTTAAAATGTCGAAGCAGGAATGACCATGAAAGGCTAAGGAGACTGATGGGTCGCAAATGATAGGTATCCGCAAATAAGTGCCAAGGGAAAATAGATATTTCTTCAAATGTCTAGAAAGTTCCGAGAGCAGGACAATGTCAACAGAAACGGGTAAGTAGGGCCGGACAGTACGAAATTAAATAAAAGTCAGATGATAGTCAGTCCCACATAATAAACAGATGTCGCGTCCATCACTCGACGAAGGCGAGTTTATGGGTGGAACATACAACAGTGAAACCACGGTCTCGCTCATGAGAAAAAGGGTGATCGGCCGAGCCAATAACATAGGCAGACTAATGCTAGGAAGTTGGTCCTCGATTGGCACGCTTGAGCCATATATTTGCATCCCGTTTAGCAGGAGGAACACACAAGGCTCGAATAAGTTCGGACAGGGTCAACAGAAAACGCGAGCAAAGTCATGCGGAGCCGACAGCTGAGGTCCACGAAAAAGGGGCCGGTCGGAGGTCACGTGACCAGTGCGGAACTGCCTCACCGGCACGCTCGTGAGGCCAAGAACAACCAATAAGCATCAACGATTGATCCGTGCGCTGGCTAACGAGTGGGAGGCCGAAAATCACGTTGATTTGGCTACAACTATGACGACCACAAGGGGGACAAAGGTCACGAGGGCCGGCCGGTGCTGAACGTAGGAGGTGACAAAGCAAACGGGCAGCTAAAAGTGCGTGCACGGAGCACGGTTGTAATATGGTGTACAGTGCCCCCCCCCACGGTTCCTGCTGGAAAGGCAGAAACAGGGAGTACACTACGGTGGTGATCGAAACAGGGAAGTTCCTGAAACGGCGACACAAATATAATTCAGTTAATGAGTTTGTCTCCTCTTCTGTGGGGGATGATGAACACAAAAAGATATCTGGACCTCGAATCCTCACGTAAAATTACTTATATGACCTTTGTTGAAAAAGGTGGCTGCTTTTGAAAGTGGTGTAAATACGTAATTTTAAGGTATCCGCAAAAGCGGACTGTGAGATGGAGACGAGAACGAAAATGCCTACCTCAGTTACTGCTATACCATTGTCCTGTCTGGAATCCAACTTTACTTCTGAATTCACTACAAAATTGTCCAATTTGTCGACCAAGCTGTTTACATGGTCGCGAAGACGCCGCAGTTCGGAGATGACGGAACGTCGGTCACAGGTGTCGAGCTGGGCCGCATTTACCGACTGGGATCCAGATGTGACCGCGTTCGTGCTATCTTCGGCGGAATTCTTAACTTCAAAAGGCAATATCAACATTAGGGGTAATAAAGACTAAGTCGACTTTAACTTGTTAGAATAGTAACAAACACGTGAGTAACGGTTTTACATATAGTTAGGCGGACATGCAGTAGAGGATTCGATGGGCAGACGAATAATCCAAAAAATAAAGTCGTTTCGGCAAAACCCAAAAAATCTGTTCCTGAGGGTCGGGGCAGAACGAATCGCTCTTTTGTTTCTTATACGGCCTATGCTCTATTCTTAGATAAAGTTGGTTGAAGCTTTGACGGGAACTGCGACGACCGACTTAGCGGACTCTAAACTGTAGGTTCATCACGAATGGCAATCCCCAACTGCATCGGTCAGAGACAGTCTTGAGCGAAGTTGAGGCAGTTGGCGGGCCAGTCCCACAGACCGCACGATCGTGATCAACTTTTATATCAACCACCTGGGTCTTCAGTTAGTCATTTCGACGCCGGCGCCAATAGAGCTTAGCTCTGTTAACGTGATATCCCAGACGATTTCCCTCTCACGTTGGCGCAACACATATCAGAGCCATTCGGCTGGCAAGCATGGAGAACAATGGTGACAGGCTGAGATTCCGAGAGACTATGCAGGAGTTTGTTGGAGACGTGGGCAGAGACAGATTTGGATAACCGACCAAAGCATCATTAGGCTGATGCTTCCAATTAGCGTACTTTTTTGAGCGTATGGGCATGTCTCACATACTTTCGATTGCAGGGGTTTCGGAAAATTCCCGAAATATCATGTCTGGGTGATGCGATGGTCGATTTCCCCTCTAGGTTTCCTAGTTGACCAACATTCCGAAAAAAAGTAACAGAGACTGCCTACTAACCAAGGAGTTTATTCGTCTACTTTGATCGGGCAAGTATATCCTAATGCACAAGTCACTCTCCACCAATAACCCAGAATACGGATCTTGCTCTATTGCAATACGTTTGAATCGGTCAAAGTAATTTAGGTGACCCGCTAACACGATAGTTCAGTCATCGCAAACGGTGTCTACTGCTGCTCCCGCGACAGCAACCTATGCGCAAGTGAAGCAGAGCATTTAACTAGCATGTGCTCTTAAGTGTGAGGTGCTGCATTTTTCGCAAGCCAAGTCTCTTCGACCTAACGTCTTAGCAGCAGCCGAGCATCCTCAGAGGCATATCCAGAGCCGCACTTTCCATCAGTCGGCACCATGAATAGTGCGGACAAGTGCATTACCGATCGAATTTAAAGCCTGGTCATGAGTTTAGCTACAGGCGTTTTTGATGAATATACGGTTTAGTACAGGTCAATTAATCATTTGCACAGGAAGTTTCTATTGTGTGGCTGCTCAGCATTCAGTTCGTTGACGCATAACACTTTCCAAACAAACCCATTGCCTACAGTAAGGTCATCCGTGCAAATTGTGTTGGCCGTTGTCCGAAGTATGTCTGTATATGCATTCCACCAGCATTTAGTGTTGGGGCGTACACAGCAACAATGGCAACACTGGAAAAAAATAGCACAAAGGTTTGTAAAGAAGTACAATCGCCGTTACCACTGGCTTCCAGCGCATAAGCGAAGCCTTAGCCTAGTGACTCAGTGGTTGCGACGTCACAGAGTGGAGTTATCAACGTCATTCTAACGGAAGGGGTGAAAATATTCCTAGGTTCCCGACACCTGACTGTTGCGCCAGCCGTGATATAGCAAGCGCACCTCGGCATGAAAACCACCTTTAAACTGTGCCAACAGTGACATGGTGTAAATCTGCGTCTCAAGTGCGAGAATTGTCCTCCCGTTCCAGTAAGCATATCCATCTAACAAGGCGTCTATTGTTACTTGTTTTACTCGCGCTGAAAATTTATGGAAAGATCGCAATTTCCCACTTTGTGATAGACTTTAAACTTTGGTGGTTGGCGATCGACGCGTACACAAGTGACAGCCAAGAATGTTGCACACACTGTGTTGCTAAGTAAAGTTGTGGGCAGAACCCAACTATCGAATGTGCAGTCTTTTACTAATGGAAATGAGACCAATAAGGCGCACGTGGAATTGGTACTTTGATGAAAACTAAGTACTGTCTTCTATAGTGAATATGCTGACTTCACAGGTTTCGTAACCAAATGCTGCCTACATTGCTCACTAAGTGTTCACAGGCCTGTCTTCCTGACTTTCGTTACGATTTACACTTTCTAGTCAGATAGTGCTGGCGGAAATTCATAGGCTAACATACTACTTCGAACACTGAAGGAGACTCTGCTTGCTCGTGACTTAACAGTTTTGCAAATCCGAGTGTTATCTCATACCCCATTTGTAGCCCAAAGACTAACAATGGCCAAACAGGACTGGCTTGTAGGAAAAGAGAACCGAATGAAATGAGGGAGTGTGCGGCCTGAAGGACTGCATATGGACCAGATATTTCGACGAGGTCTATGGTCAACGCGACAATCATAATGCTAACGGACAAGGGCTAGTTTTATAAATGTAAAACAGAATAAACAGTACGGAATGTGTCACAGCCCACTATCTTTGTGTACATTCTGATAATCAAGCCCCTAATGGAGACAACCATGTTCTGATTTTTGGTGGCAGATCGAGACAAGAAACTATTACTATCCCTCACTTTTGGTAGCAAAGCACTAGACATTAAACATGCAAAAAATGGGGTGGAAGCTTGGTAATTTTTGAGATCCCATTGGGTAAAATGTCAGAAAGCGACACTTTGAAAGTAATAGAAATCTAATGGTCCTCACCAATAATTTGAAGACGGAGAACATCCTGACATTGCTGGATGGCATACGACAAATCCGACTCATCGGCGATCGTGACGAATTCATTGTCTTTAAAAAAAGCTGTTTTAAAAGCAGATCTTACCTTCGTCCTTGTACTTGATGATGAAGTCTGTGTCACTTTCTAATCGCGGCTTGAAGACCCTCTGCATCATAATTGCAATTTCGTCATAGGTTAGATCCTCGTTGTGGATGGGA